GTGAATTTTGTATTGTAATTTTTTAAAACAAATTCTTGAAGAGGCCGGTATAAGAATGTAGATAAAATTTTCCAATTTTTTCCTTCATCGTTATGAATTTTCAATTGTTGCTTCATTGTGTGTAAGACACCATCAAATGAATCTAAGTCTTTGTTTACAAAAAATCATTTTGACCAAATAATCAATAAAAGTTATAGTACAAAGAATTACGGTCCAAAATAGAATCTGAACTATAAGCTTTCCTGTAAATTATGCAAATTTTGATAGGTCTCTGAGTTGTTTCCGGGGTGGTGGACCTAAAATCTTGGTCTGCTTATAATCGCTGGTAGGCCTGCGGAAGCGTTTCCGCATTTCGCAATCTTCTGTGTCGGAATTTTCTAACATTGTCATTTTTTTCTATTAAATGACAGGATTGGGTCCGATACATTATCTCAGCTTAGGTTTTTAATTGGTAACTTTAAATTTAAAAAATGTTCCTTTAACTTAATTTTTTTACTATATGGAAAATTGCTGACTTGCACAAATTGAAAAAAACTAAGTGGTACTAGGTTGAGAAGAATCATCCAGTGGTGACACTTCTACTAGGGTCTATCAGTTAACCTTAGAATTGAAATTTAAATATTACTTTATTAAATAAAAATATGATTTTCATTATATTTTATATAAAGAATACGATTTTATATTTATAATAAAACTAGCCTATTAAAGCAGAACGTCCTGATTTTTAATAGCTGTAACAGAAAGAAAATTCTGTTACATTGTTCCGTGCTCACAATTTTTCGGGCCATAGTTTACATCCTAAGATCAAAGTTTTCTGTGTTCTTCAATTTGCTCCGTAACAAATTGAAATGTAAACAAGCCAATGTGTAAATAGAGGACCTTACAAAGGTCTGTGAAACTCTAGGTTTCTGTATTCAACCTTGAAATCGGCAATAAGGTAAGACTGTCTTTATCTCGTCTTCGGTTAATTGGTTTCGTTTTTGTATATAGTATACAACAGGGGGAAAATAATTGGCTCGCGAGTTCTTTTTTTCCAGTGGAATACTGGAAAGGCAAGGTCGCCATCTTGTGGAAGTATCCCTTCGAGTTTCCATGGAGATGCACCCTTGCTCGGTTCATCCCTCCGGTCCTGCCCCTGTGAGGGATCTTTCTATTTATCCATCACCATTTTAACGGGAAACCTTTTGTTATTTACTATCATCGCGGGGCTCGTTTTCCCGGTCAAAATCGAACCCCTTTCCTTTTCGACAATTCCCGGCAGATCTAAATCTAAGATTATCTTTTAAAAATCCGCTTTCTTATCCAACCCTGACAAATTATTATAAGAATGTTCCAAAATATTCGTTGTGAACGAAAAAAATTATAGAACAAATTTGCCGGTCGTGGGGCTGAAATACGCTCCCTTTCCTATCCTTTGTCAAAAATATTGCCGTAGGCTTCTAAAAAATATAGCCAATTAGATTTTTGTTTGTTGCATTTATTACAGTATTTTATAGAATATTTAGATACATTTTAGATATATATTTCGTAGATTTTGATTGAATATTTCCTGTAAAATTAAATGGCAAATAAATCATGCTAGTTCTAATAGTGACTTTTGACCCCGGCTAGTGTTTATAGTAGTGTATATTTGTTAGTTCCACACGGTCTCCCAACAACAAACTGATTTTTTTTTATATTTATAAATGTATATTTTTATATTATATTTTTATTATATAAAAATTTAATATTTTTTATCTTAATTTTTATAAGTAATAAAATAATAAATCTTTTTTTGTCTTTTGATTAGCCTTTTAGCCAAAATACGAAATTTAATTAGGTCTAAAATATAATTAAAGTTAATCGGTTCTGAACTTATTTTGTAGCCTAGATTGATGTTTTTTTTCTTGGAATAAACTCAAAAATTACCACCAAATAAAGAATAAAGAAATAAACCGTTTTCCCATTATATACATATTTATATAAATTACATTTATTATTATTATTCATATAAATTACAAATTAATGACTCAAATTTTTATGCAATTTAACATCATTTTTGCCCTTTACTTCTTTGAATTATTCATTTGTAATGTTTATTCAACTGATATTATTATGAATACGTTAAGAAAAAGAAACATAGTACAAAAGTTTAAATAAATACATATTGTAACTTTTCAACAAGCCCGGTAATTGAAGAATTTACATCAGTTGTCAGATAAATTGATTTATTAGAGATCAATAAATAGCCTTCAGCTGTAACGTGGTAATCGGATAATTTTATTAAACCAGTTTTTCCATGTAAAAACCGTATAAATAATGCATAAAAAGAAATTAACGAATCAAGAAGCATGTAGTACGGTCATTATGCAAATTCCCGGATCCGACAGATCTATTATCTTAAGTTTTAAACTCGTTCGTTCCAATATACTACTTCCACCGATTTTAGATCGAGGTAAACAGTTCTTTAAACGTGCGGTGGTGAAGATTTCACGCCTGGTACACGAGGAAAGTGAAAAAGGTGGTTTTCCACATGACGTGATCCATGGTGGCTCAAAGCTCCGCTGGCGAATTTTACAGTCGGGGCGTTGGAGCTGCGTTCGGCCCCTTTTTTCCTTCTCGGAAACTTGCGGACAATGTCGGGTGTGCGCTTTGTGGCCTGGGAACTAATGGAGTCTTTTTTGTGCTCCAGCGGTGCACGAGTAATGGGAAGAGGCGTGCAACCGACGTACAGATACAATCGGGCCACACCACCTCGGAAAACACTCGGAGACCTGAAATCGGCCTTGGCACGATCCGAAAAACGCAAGAAAACCGCAAACTTGAAGGTGGTTCACGATGAATTAACCTCGGAACGTGTGTGGCGATTAGTGACCGTTAATCGATAATTATTCAGAAATCGTGAGATGCGGTCGGGTGTGATGTAGGTTTCAGAACTCACTCTCAACACGACACGCAAGAATGGCACAATTACACAGAATACATACACATTGTGCCCTGAAGATGATCTCAATAAAGATCGAAACGTTGGCACGATAAAGAAAATGTTTTTCTGAAACCTACATCACACCAGACCGCATCTCAGATTTCTGAATAATTAACCTCGGAACTTTTACAACATTCAAAGAGATCAGATATCAGTTGGCAATTTAATATTTCGGCCTAAGCGCCAAACCCTATGAAAATCATAAACATAATTTTTCATACGTTTGTAACGGACCAAGAGAATGAAAAGAATATTTCAGACATATTGCCATGATCAATTGTGACGTTTCAAATTGGTCTGCGGTGTGTTGAACTAATACTTTGATCATTTCCGATCATTTTGGTTTATATATATTTTCACTATACCGGGCAGAATAATTGAAGATGGCGAGAAGCGGAAAACATGTTTGACAGACCAAATGATCGAAAATGACCCAATTAATCTAGAGTCTAGTGTATTCTAAACAGGTTAATTTGGACCTAGAGAAACGGTAGATTATATGAGAAAAATTTAACCTAGAATTTCTAACTGGTCATAGCACCAAATGTTTTAAAATTGATAGTATTAATATATTACAAACTATTTGTCAGTGTTTGTAGATCAAAATTCGAAATATTTCATTTATTATTTTTTGCAAAACATTTTTACTAATCCATTTACGTATAGTGGTCTAATTGACCATATTAATTATTTCAATTAATTATTCCTTTTATGTAAGGTAGCGGTTGACATGAAAAAGTTTGTGTCACGAGCGAGATTCGAACCCATGACATTTGGCTCAATATGTCGCTGCTCTAACCACGATAGCTCAAGTGTTAGAGCAGCGGCGGCGTATTGAGCCAAAGGTCTTGGGTTCGAATCCCGCTCCTGACACTAACTTTTTCTTGTCACCCAAGACTGTACATAAAAAGAATAATTGATTGAAATGTTTGCTCATATTAATTTGTTTGGCCAGTTCCTTTGTAAATAAGTGAGTTTGTAAAATTATAAAACTTTAGAGGAGATGTTATATTTTGACCAAAACCAGAATATGGCAAATGATAAATTTATATTTTTTCTGAGGTTTTGAGGTTGAAAGCCTTTGTGTAATAACAACGATTTAACTAGCGATATGCTTAGTTATTAGATGTATTTAAATATAATCTGTAAAACCTGATTACTTTCTTTATGTATTCAAATATAGTTTCTTTTGTTTGTTTGCAGTAGCGAAACTATTATTTATTTGTTTTTCAAATTAATAAGAAAATCTTGTATTTTAAATTATAATGATGGCTGGCGACAACACCTTATATATGTAATATGTTGCTATAATACAATAAAATTTGTATTCTTATTAGTTTATTTATATACGTAATAATTGATGTTCGGGCGGGTCGCCGTCTTGAGGGAAAACGATGGCATTGTATAAAACAAACATTTTTTTTTAATTTGAGGTTTGATTTTTTAAAGGTCTTTTCGTTATATGTATTACATCCAATGGAGAATTTTTCTTTTTCTTTTTGGTGGAGAACGAATACGTTATATGATTGTTGAAGATCCGGTCGTTCTTTGAAGTAGGGAGTTTCTTCGGCATTTCATCCGGGTTTTTCACTGACATACGAGGGTTTGCTCTGTAACGTAATGGGAAGGGCAAGGAACGTAATCCTCTTAGACTTCTTACAGATGTCTATAACGAGCTATATTATTGGTCCTTTCGGAAAAACTCGGGCCGGAGGGCACAAGTCGAGTGTATAATTGTTCCTATACGGGGCACACCTTAATCCAATCCCGGGCCTGGCTCTCTTTGTCCCCTTTTTATTTAAATTCCCGGCCCTCCTAATCCCGGCATTGAAGCCGGCCGCCCCCGCTGGGCCGTACCAAAAGCCTTCCGCCTCACGTGTACTCGCGAAAAGGAAAGGTCGGCGTATTGTCAATTTTGTCCGATTCGACACCGGCTGACTACGCGACGTATAATGAACACATCCGCGTAAAAATACACTATTCGTCCTCCAGATTTGTTTCGAGAATTTGAAGTTTTAACAATGTTCTTTTACAGGTTGGGAGGGGGCATGGCTAGCAGTTATCTCAAAGGTAATCCAATGCAGCCGATGATGGGTTCGCACCACCAGTACCACGGACCCGTCCCAGCGCTGACAACCCCTTTTGGCCTATCGCATCACCTGGATTCTGCAATACCATATCCTCAAGGTACTAAAATAAACTTTTTTATCAAAATTTTTAATTAATTTTTCTTCAGTACAATGTGGCAAACAGATGTTTGACATGATGCCATAACAACGAAGAAATACAAAAAAGTCAGAATTATAGCCTGTATGAAAATTGGAATTGCATTTCTCACGATTTGTCTCTCACTTTTCATTGTTGTGTTTTTTTATTATTTTTCGAGTATTACTAAAGTTATTCAGATATCGTGAGATGCGGTCGGGTGTGATGTAGGTTTCAGAAAAACATTTTCTTTATCGTGCCAACGTTTCGATCTTTTATTGAGCCCTGAAGATGATCTCAAAAAAGATCGAAACGTTGGCACGATAAAGAAAATTGAACATCTCACGATTTCTAAATAACTATCGATTAACGGTCACTAATCTCTACACAGTATTACTAAATTTAATTACATACGCTAAAATCTCTGTCTTTCTTATCTGTAATTTTATCATATCGAACCGAAAAACAGACGGAAGTGTCTCTCATAGAAAAACCCCTCCCGAAAAACCCGCCCCACAAAAAAGAAAACACAACAAGAAAAAAAACGGTCATCTACTTTTAGCCGTTTGCAGGGCACAGTTATTAGTGTTATTCGAACGTTTTGCCGCATCACTGTTTGGGGATCTTGCCGTGGAAAAGTGTCAACTGTAAAAACGAGACGGTTACTTAACACCTCGTGCTTATCAACTCATCTGAAAAACCTAAAAGCTCCCTCGTTCCCCACTCGGGGTCGGTAATTGGGGGCTGTTTGCCACGACAAGAGTTACCACTTTGCCCCGGGGGTAGGTGCTTCGATACCCAATTCAAACGCCCCCGGTTTCTAATAACTCAACCAGCCATGTCACAAATCGGTTGTTGTTACCAATATAACATTGGGGCGAATTAAATCAGACATGCGTGCGTTGAATAAACGCCTAATATTCAAGAAAGAAATTTTTTTAGACGATTTCTATTCTATGGTTACATCCATTTTTTCCAAAGACGCAGTTCTAACCCTTCATTTCAGTTCCCAAATTTTTAAAAAGGTTTCAACCGGTTTTACTAACAGTTTTTGGATATTAGAAATCATTTTTATACAAACGAAAACAAAATAATTTTTACGCCAATAATATTATAACGGCAAAATTTCCATTATTGGACAAATCAGTCTCTTCTCATGTCCCTGGGGTTTGGCATAAATATTAATATCATAAAGACAGCTCACGATTCACATCAACGGCGTTAAACACAATAAATACAAATTTCCATAAAGGGGAGCCTTGCCCGGCGGCTATTGCCGACAGACAGCACTGGGTTTTGTATGAATAATTGGAGATGTGGACCCTTTTTGACTTTCAAATAATAACTTATGAACGGATCTCCTGAAATTAAACGGCCTGGGGATATACTTAAAAAGACCGTTGATGTTATTTCCTAAGCGATAATCAAATTATCAGAAGTGTTCGTCTGTTTTTGTTTTGTTTCGATCATTAATCTAATTGGACCTCAGACCTTTTGTTATGGTTTTACAATATTTTCCTTAACCTCAAACATTTTGAGGACACTGGTTTGTTATTTTCACAAGAATCATTGAACGAAAACAATTGGCACTATTGGGGTTGCTTATTGAGTCAACTTAACCAAGCGTTGTTTTGCAGACAGGGAAGAAGTTGTAAAATATGTTGCAAGTGGTTCAAAATTCTAAATTCTAGCTGTATAATCTCTCTCTCTCTCTCTCTCTCTCTCTCTCTCTCTCTCTCTCTCTCTCTCAATTACGTTTTTATTATTTTTTTTTAAAGCACAAGCTGGAATTTTTTTAATTTTAATAGTTTTTACGTAGGATAAGAACAATACCAACATTCCTTTGGCTTAACGCTGTTTTAATTTTCACAGATGGTTTTTCAGGTTCTAGATACCAAATAACTTGATTCTGGCTTTAATTGAAAACATACCAAAGTGTGTCACTTTTGTTTAATCAGGACCTTACCTATCACAGAATCTTTGACCCTTTCTCGAAGTGACTTATTTTTAGAGTTGAACTAAATAATATATGGATTATATTATTCAATACGTGATACATAATTTACAGTTGTTAGTTCTTGAAAGTATGAATAATTTTATTACGTAGAAAAAATCAGTCTTTTGAAAAAGGGGATAAATTCCTCCAATGCTTGACAAAGGAATTTCTTAGAAATGATGAATGAGTGAGTGTGGTGTTCAATCCTTTTTTTTTTTTTTTAAAGATAGTTCCTACTCACAGTATCTCCCTTTCTCTTTCTCTTTTTCTTACTCATTCACTCATTATCTCTGAAATTTTATCACTTTGTCATTATTTCTCTAGTTCAATTACCATCTCCCTTTCTCTTTCTCTTTCTCTCTCTTTCTTTCTTATTATTATGTCGTTTGTAAGAGAGGTCAATATTTGACTTATTTTATTATTACTGGTTGTTGTCAACTTACATTTAGCTTCTCTCTCTCGCTCTCTCTCTCTCTCTCCCCTCTCAATGACTCACTCATTCACTCTTCAATTCTATCACTTCGTCAGCATATCTCTAGTTCAAACAATATCGTTCGCTCTCTCTTTCTCTCTCTCTCACACCCCTCACCTCTCACCCCTCACTCACTCACTCATCTATGTAATTTTATCTCTTTGTGAGTATTTCTCTAGTTCATTCACCATCTCCCTTTCGCTCTCTCTCTCTCTCTCTCTCTCTCTCTCTCTCTCTCTCTCAACTCTCACCTCTCACCTCTCACTCACTCACTCACCACTCATCTATGTAATTTTATCACTTTGTCAGTATTTCTCTAGTTCATTCACCACCTCCCTCTCCCTTCTCTAGTTTAATCACTAATTAATTCTATAACTTTTTCGGTATGCATCTAGTCTAATCACCATTTCTCTCTCTCTCTCTCTCTCACACTCTCTCTCTCTCTCTCTCTCCCTCTTACACACACACACACACACACACACACACACACACACACAGAGAGAGAGAGAGAGAGAGAGAGAGAGAGAGAGAGAGAGAGAGAGAGAAATTTCCGTTTATTATAATTTATAGATCTCAAAACGTTTCATCGATAATTTTGAACAATTCAACGTTTAATATCACAATATAAAATCGATCGAAAGATTAATATATTGCTTGTGTTTCTATCAAACGTGTGGGTTAGTCGTTAAAATTTGATAGCATTAACATTATTTATTAATTACAATAATTGCATTCTTCGTCGCTAATTTTCAGACTTTAACAAATGGTTTTCTATTTTGGTTTTCTTCATTTTCGTAATGAATACAAGTCAAGGAAGGTTTTTAATTTTTTTTTAATTTTTTTAATTAATTAATTTTTTTTTGAAGTTCAGTGCTACAATACGATTGATTTATTTTTAAACTTTAAAGGGAAAAAAAGGCCGATGATAGGAAGGAATGGCCTTTGTGTCGTTTGAGTTGTAATAGTGAATCCGGGGGTTGGGATGCAGCTGTATACAAGGGCCAATGGGGTTGCCGATAGATCACCCCTCGGCCCGCTAATCCGCCATTGTCGCAGTTGATAGAATACAGGAGGGGGTGCAACGTATAATATGCAGGGTGTGACGGTACGATTCACCACGGTGATATCGCTGCCTTCCGATACGGCGACCGTGCCGGTTTTCTACTGCGACGGGGGTGGTCCAACGTCGAAAACCTTTTACGAGGATTAGAAATGTACCGAACCGCGAGATTACACGTCCACGGTGGTCTCGTCTTTGATTTAAATCAGATTAATTTTTAAAAAATATCTCATTAATTCTTTTCCTTCCGAGAAACTGTTTTATCTTTTATCGGACTTAGAAAAAAAAACTTCTTAATTTATATGTGGTGTTTAGCGACCGTTAGTCAATGATTATTCGGAGATCGTGAGATACGGTCTGGTGTGACGTAGGTTTTAGAAAAACATTTTCTTCATCGTGCCAACGTTTCGATCTTTATTGAGATCATCTTCAGGGCTCAAAGTGTTTGTTTTCCGTGCAGATGTATCATTCTTGTGTGTCGTGTAGGCACTCTCAACCCGGAAGAATGACACATCTACACGGAAAACAAACACTTTGAGCCCTGAAGATGATCTCAATAAAGATCGAAACGTTGGCACGATAAAGAAAATGTTTTTCTAAAACCTACGTCACACCAGACAGCAACTCACGATTTCCGAATAACTTCTTAATTTAGAGGATTTTTAAAATAAAAATAGAGATATTTTTACACAAATACTTGTATAAAATTAGTCAGCTTCATTGGGATCCCTTTTTCAATATAGGTTTAAAATTTTTACCGTGTAATCTCCATGTCATACCATATGATTGTCGTTATTGATGATGGTGATGATGAAAGTAGGGGCTTATGTTTCACAACCACTGCAGCCTTCTGGCTTATTGTAATTTTCTAGTTCCTCTGTTCATTTTAATCGATTGGATCCTTCTTTTAAGAAGCAATAGGTAATCGTTGCTATAATTCCTTTCCCTGGGTTTTCTTTGTATTCCAAGTTATGTCTCCAGTGACCGGTTGTTTCGCATTCGAAGATTATATGGGTGGCTGTTGTTTCCTTTTCATTGCGTAATCAATAAACGGGCTTATTTTTGAATATGCCCATGTTGTGTAGATTTTTTCTCAGGTACCGGTGACCGGTATGTCCTATCCAACTCTGAGTTTAGCCCTCTCGAACTGTAGCACTGAGCTTGGTGAGGATTATTTTTGCATAAGTTTAATGTGTGCTACTACTAGCTCCCCTAGAGTTTATCCACTTCTCCTTTTGTTTTTTTGGATCTGTGATGTAGGATTCTGTGTTTGTTTTTGTTATCCCGAATGTATGTTCAGGGACTAAACTGCAGATCCTGTTCTTTTTTTTTTTTGCTTCCCAAAATTCCTCTGAGTTCTGGTACGCAACATCAGGTTATTGTGTTTCCCCACGTTTTGGAGATTTTGGATGCATTCACCGACCAGTTTTGATGTGAATTTTTGACAAGCTTAT